AAAGGGAGTGTAGTATGGGGGAAAAAAACTGTCCCTGATAGCAAAATTTACTTAATACAGAGGCTTTGAAATATAAATGATGTCAAATAGTCCTTGAATATGCTGTGCAAACAGGTGCACAAATACCAAATACAGCATGGGTCATTTTACCTTCCCTGCCTTCAGCCTTTCCTTTTCCTTTGCTCCTTTCCTTCCATACTCTGTCTCTTTCTCTCTCTCCTCCTTCTCTCCCGCTCTCTCCTGCTCTCTCAATCTCTCTCTTTCTCTCTGTGAAGGTCATGCAATTGATTTTCCTCTGTCTATTCATTTTTCAAGACTGGCTTTGAAACGTGGGAAGCAGACAAAAGCCACTCCGGCCCCTCCCCTGCGCTCCATCCCTCTCCTCTCCTCCACCCTCCACCTTCCTTCCCTCTCCGCTGCCCATCCAAAAACCCCAGACAAGAGGGAATGTGGAGGAATGCAACCCCCACCCCCCAACACACCCCATCCCAATTTCCTCGCACTCTTCTCCTTCTTCCTTCCTCCTCTCTTTCTGTCTTTATTCCTCCTACATTTGTTCCTTCCCCTGCTCTCTGGCCTCCGCTCCCTTTCAGCCAGATCTCTGACCACATTCCACTAACGGAATTAAAGTCATGCATCACACTTAAAACCCTGCCAATGCATTGTGGGTAGACTTGTTCAAACTGATGTCCAAATTAGCATTGCATTTTCAATATAGGCCCTGTGGAGACTGTGTGACCTGCTTGTAAGAAATCTCCAAATATTTAATTAAATACTTAACATATCAGATGTTGACCCAGTGGTAAGAATGTGAAAGATAATTCACAATTTTCTCGACCTTCACGTAGCAGCTTCCGCGGGGGCTCTATATATTTATCGTTGTGGCTCACATTTGTACGAGAAGTGCCTCTCGTTGTAGCGTAAACCGCACACCTCACATCTTTTTCAGCGCACTTCCACTTTGTACACAGGGCAAGAAGCACTACTACCTGCGCACCAACTATGCTGAACAGGAGGTATTTTCTATCAAGGCCAAGAAAAGTCAGGAATACAGAGGAAAAACAATTCGCAATTCATGCGTAGAGTCAAGGCTGCGGCTGTGTGTATGGGTGCTAGTATATGAATATCACTCAGACAATCAGATTGTCCTGCGCAGAAAGGATGATGAGATATTGATGTACAACAATGGGCTGATGCATAGGAATACATGTTTTCACACACTATGACTGTAGATTAGACTCAAGTTGCAACAGGATGCAGTTCAAAGTTCTTTAAAAGCAATATGTTGGCTTTGAGGTCATCCATACTATTAAGTGGTCAGATATATACCATATCTAATCTTTAAAGCCGTCCTACGTTGCCCCTTAGGGCCCAGAAGTCACCATGTGCAACTTGTCTGTATGTACAGCCTGGTTCTACTGGAGGTTTCTTCATGTTAAAAGGGAGTTCTTCCTTCCCACTGTCGCCAAGTGCTTACATTTAGAGGGTCGTCTGATTGTTGGGGTTTCCTCTGGATTATTGTAGGGTTTGTATCACACAAGCACTGGCAATTTGAAAGCTACAACTATGACAAAAATGTACTTAGACCATATTAGAAGTTAATTTTTTTTCTAATTCAGCTATCTCGTGAATACTCATTTTCCTTTATGGCCATGTATACATCAGTAACTTATTTTATTTGCATGTTGACTTTAAATCTGGTATATCGTTGTTTTACTTTTGAGTTTCATAACATTTTTGCAGTGCTTAACACCTTTTTAAGCTGTTTTGATTTCTTTGTTAGTCTCCGTATACTGTAAGCCTCAGTTTAGCTTCACTGACGATCTTACGACGGCCTACAGTTCGTGATGTTATTGTGTCTCTGGTGGTTTTTATGTTTTGGCTTCTGGTAAGAATTCAGTGTTGAAATATCCTGTGTTCTATCCACGTTTTGTGTGTTACTTGTAGTAGCTGTTGTAGTAATCATCACCCCCATGTTTCCATTTGTGCCTTCTTCTGTCTCGTTTCTATCTTCACGCTCTGGTCACTTTGCGTTTTCTTGTCTTGTACATCTTGTTAAGTGTTAGTATTCATATCTCTATCAGTCTCTTTTGGTTATTTTCTGTTTTACTTTGAAGGCAGGTTTGCATCCTGTGTTCGTTTTGTTTCCTGTCTTCACCTGTGTGTGATTACTTTCACCTGTGCCTCATTACCTTCCACTCTGTCATTTCCCTGTCAGCATTCTGTGTATAAACAATCCTGCTTGCCCTTGTTTGTTTTGTTCCCAGAGTGGGTTCCTCATGTGCAGCCAAGTGATTTTCCCCTTGCCGTGTGTAGAAGGCTGCTGGCGCCCGAGGACTTCATTTATTTCTGAACTTGATACAGCATTAAAAGCTTGATTTTCTTAAGTCGTTTTGCTTCCAAGCTCCCATATTTGGCTCGACACCTCTACACTCGATATCCCTCGCAGTGAGGCCTTGGATTTTGGCATTCATGCGGATGTTTTACACCTACCAACACCTAAACATTGTTGGAAGTCAAGCTGATCAAGAAGGGTTTGAAACCGAGGGAATGACTCATCTTCCAAGCTGCCCAGTTCCCAACCTTTTAGCACACCAACAGATACAAGCACAATCCTCAACCCACAGACCCAAAGGGATCCACTGACAACATCTGAGGTCTCAGGTCATGTACAGGTCCTGTTTCCATCTTCCTGTGGGACCTACAATATTAGCCTCTGGGTGATTTGTTTATATAAAACTTCCCATTGATGCTTATATCTTAATTCTTTCATAATGGAATCCGTCTTTAACGCTACACCTTAAGTCTCCGAGCAAAAAAGAAGACATTACATGAGTGTTTTCATGTGGTGAGCAATGTTCCAGATGAAAACCGCATTGACCTTAAAGATACTTTCAGCTTCTCCCTCTTTTCCCACGGGGTCACAGTAGATGGATCCACATGTTTGATCTGGCACAGATTTTGACACCAGATGCCTTTCCTGATATAACCATCCCATTTATCGAGACTTATGACCGACGTTAGCAGCAGGCTAGCTCTTAACACCCTGAGGCTGCGGTTGTGTCTTTCACAAGTAAGGCGAAGGTGTTAACAAACTACACCACGGAACCACGGAAAACCACACTGACCTTAATGTGTAAAAATTTCTATGATGCCCCCAAAGGATACTGGGAAAAGAACTGGTTTGGTATTTTTTACTATAACGTCACACTCAGACAGCACTGGTAGCATTACTGGTACTCACCCCATCAGGAAATGCAGTGCATAATGTGGGTAAAGCACACCACATGCAGTCTCACAGAAACAGGCTGTTAATACGACAGGTTTTTTTTGTTCACATTTCCTCAAATTTACCAGGAACAGGCACAAAGGCGGACACACACACACACACACACACACACACACACACACACACACACACACACACACACACACACA